CCCTAAAACCCTAAACACCGCAAGCGCATGACATCGCCAGTGCATCTAAACCCTAAACCCCAAACACAGCAAGCGCATGACATCGCCAGTGCATCGCATACCACATACCTCTTCAAAGTCCAGGGACGACATGATGGTAAGGTAGATGGTACGGCGCAGCGCAACCCGATCCACTCCAGTCATATCCACAATACCTGTGCGTGAAGGTACGAGACCCGGAGGCTTCTATCAGGCTATGTGCGAACGAGTGAGGAAATGCAAATATGTATACACAAATGCGTATGTATACACTCTGTACCTGTACGTGAAGATGTGAAACCCGAAGCCTGCTATCAAGCTATGTGCAACCGAGTAAGAATACAGCAACATTATTAAAGTGAGTCTTACAGGCGTTGAACTAGCTATGTGTGAGCGAGTCAGGAGAGATATGCGCTTCATGACGAGATAAGGATTGCATTAAACATCGCGTACATGGGAAGGGTCCAGATCGTCGCACACACCTTGGTGCGCTGTGGTGAAGTGAAATATGTAGAAAACAGTGAGAGGGAACAACATAAACCAAGTTTTTCAATGCAGATTTACGGTGACAACGTACATGGCCCGCAGTGTATACGGCAACCTCCGGCAATCGCTCAGCTAGACTAACTCAGGATCTTAACATGCCGACTTATGTGCAATAAACTCGGTAGGTCCAAGGCTTATGCATCTCACACATATATAACGGCTGCTGTTCCAAACAGGTACCACCAAATATAACACCAAACACGTGTTACTACACTACACCGCGACATCAAAGACCAACACAGGCACACGCCACATACCGCCATCGGCCGGCTTCTCCTCTTCTACCTCTTCTTCGCCACTGTCACTTTCGTCTTCGCTGCCACTGCCACTGCCACTCTCATCACTTGACTCTCCCAAGATACCCTTCTTTATCTGCGTGTACTTGGCCTCGTTTTCCTGCTCAATCAAATATACCGTCAGCGTGCTTCTATCAGTGTGTATGCGGCCTCAAAGTATGATCCATGCGGACGACCATGCCTTGGCGTATTCTGAGATAGTTACCCTGTTCTATTCAACGCGGCGGATTGTCCCAATTCGCCAACAAAATCGTATATATTCATATATATCAAATGCGTTCATATATAGATACATATACATAGATAACAAATAAGTTCATATATAGATGCATATACATACATAACAAATGTGTTCATGCATAGAAACACAAACAAAAAAACACCAAATGTGTTCATATATGGATAGATATACATACATAACAAATGTGTTCATACATAGATACATATACATACATAACAAATGTCCTCGTACATAGATACATATACATACATAACAAATGTGTTTATAAATTGATACATATACATACATAGCACATGTGTTCGTACATAGAAACATATACATACAAAACAAATGTGTTCATATATGGATACATGTAAATACATAACAATATGTTCCTACATAGATACATATACATAAATAGCAAACGCCTTGATACATGATCAATAATTTGCCGGCGTGATAACCACCACAGGCACGGTATCCATACACACATACCGTGAAGTTGGGGTCCAGCTTGAACACATCCAGTGATGCCTGCGCGATTAAGCCTTCTTCGTCAAGTGACAGGAAGTGAATGATTTGGTCGTCTTCTTCGACCAGGTCTAAGCCATCCGGGACCATCGGGAAATCTGCGAACTTGCCTATTGAATGCATGTACAGGGATATACAGACAGCATCAGTCACCGCAAGGGAGAGTGTATGATCCCAAAACAGCACAGAGAGGTGGATTGGGTAGCCACACCGTTAACGAGAGTCCGAGGGGGGGGTTAAAGGTGATAGTCTAGAGTACTATGATTTGTAGGTAACACAATGATGTACATTGTTCGTAAGAAGGATAGGGAGATATAAATATAGTGGAGCTATGGACAGATATTGGCGCACCTCGATGAACACATGCTCATTCGAAACATTCATACCAAGCATTGCGTGAGGATATCCAGGGACGTGCGTACGGGTTGGCATGTCCTGATGCTACGATCCGCATATACCACGAGTCTCATCAGTACAGACGCAATGTGCATGTGCCAACCTATGCATCAAATCACGACAACAGTCTGGACGCTAACTGCTGTATCATAATATCTCGTAGTTACATGTTTAAAACATACCTTTCCTCACTTCCATAACGACTTCGATCATGTACTGCACACGTACGTCGATCTGTCCGTCGTGCAGAATACCCCTGAGACGTTCGAAGATGGCGTTCAACGCCTTCGCCTGTGGTGAGACTTGTTGCAGATATTGTCCCACCTGCAATCACAAGCAACCCAAACATCAGCATCTGAGATAATGGCAGTGTCACATGGGAGATATAGAGCCTCATGTTTGCATGGAAGACACTTGACTTTGACCGATTCGGATCAATCGATTATCATAATATAATATGGACTGTCTGAAGCATAGCTCAAACCCATACATGAGCTTCTCAGTCAATGGTAATGACACATGGGAGATATACAACCTCATGTTTGGATGGTTACGAAGACAGACTTGACTTTGACCGATTCGGAGCAATCGATTATAGGTATAGAATATGGTCTGTGTGAAGCATAGCTCGCCCGATCACCACCTGAACATGAGACTGACCGCCCCATTTATGACAACCACTACACTCTGTACAATAAAAATAAACCCCCAATACATTGGTAGACTTCTGCTGAGTGTGAGTCATGTATGTGTCAATATAAAGAAACACTACACACCACACGCACTCACTCCCTCACCTCTTTCAGAAACCCAATCGCAACCTCGACGCTATCACTCGTGGGCTTCTCCAACAACAGCGTGATGAGCTGCAACGCCAACACCTCGTGCGCCACCTGCTGGTTGACCAAGTGGGCAATGAACTTCACAGTGGCCAGGCACATGGCCTTGTCGTTGCGTTTGTAACTCCGCCTGCGAGAGAAACATTGGCCGGGTTTCGTGTTTCGTCAGTCAGAGGAGTGTGTAGAGCGGATGGGGTGTAAGGCGTGCATGAACAGGTACTCAGAAAGAGGTGCCGAAAATGGCCGGGTGGTGTATATCAGTGCTATGGTTTTCGAAGATATTATAATTCTGTATCACAAGAAGTGTCTAGGATGGCAACCAAGCCTATTCCTCGACCTCACCGATTACATAAAGGCAAGAACGTCATACAGGTGCATGTCCATGTGAGCATTCTAAATTGACACGCCTCATTCATTCGGTGGTATGCTTGCCTTAGAAGCCCTACGTGTCACCCCCGATGTAAATATATAAATATATAAATATAT